CCTTGAAAGAAAGTTGTTTGAAGATTTAAATACAGTTGATCCATGTGACCTTGAAGTGGTACGAGGTCATTCACTATAACAAATATTATAATCCTTATAATGTCATACTTACATAATATTATAAGCCTTGTGGTCCTTGAAAAGAAGATTTTAATACATTGGTCGAGCTTTTTTGACAACCTTGAAATTTCTCCAACCTGGATTTGTTTTGTAAAATGTCAGGTTGTTTGCCTTGGCAGACTATGGACAGACAATACCACACTATAAGTTCATTGGCTCTTCGGACATGTGAAGTTAAAATTGATCACAAACACAAAATTTTAATTTATAACATAGTTGATTTTATTATGAAGTGAAATGAGAGCACAAACCATACCATTAGTATGACATCATCTCATTTATACAAAAATTATAATCAAAACAAGTACCGTTCATATGCACCAATTTGTAACACATTTAACAGGAAAATAAATTTCATTTAGATTTTATTGTTGACTGACAAACAATAAAACCCTTCTAACATGAATACCTTTACATTTCAGGTTATACTTGAAAGTTCAACAGACAACAGATCCTACAGTTACCAAGGATATCAGTGACCTTAGGGTCAGAAACATCTCCCTCTTGCCGTAAAATTATAAAGAACATCATTTTGCTTCATATTTGGGAATTATTTGAACCATATAATTGGGTTAAGAAAATGACTTTTAAAAAACAATTTCACAAACATCATTTTCACTATTACAAATTAACAAAAGACATTCTTTTAATTCACACAAACTTGAAAAAAAAATTAACAGAGTCATCTCAATGACCCATGAAAAAAAGAATATAACAGAAATTAAAAAAATAATAATAATTGCAGAGATATTAAAATTTCTCTATCAAAACTTTTAAATAGCACCACCATATGCATGTGTAACAATAAACACCTGCAGTGTCACATGAATGATTTGGTGGGTATGGTGTAGTAAATTTAATTGTCTTATTAAGTTTTTCGATTCAATTTGTTTCATTATAATTCATTTGAATTAAGGAAATATTGTGTATCATCGGCCAGACCAGATTGGTTCTGTGTTCTGAAGGCCGTCAGTACCATCAAGTGTGATTAAGTAAAGTTCATTTCAAAATTGTTGTCAAATACATACTTCACAAATACACATTTAATATTGCATTATCGCAAAAACGATTCTGAAATCTGTAATTGTATGAAACTTCCATTTGCTGAAACTTGCGTTACAGCAATATCTCATGTGCTTTAGTGTCAAATTTCCCATTAACAAAGGTGAATTAGTAGATAATGCAACATCAATTATTTATACCAAAGGTAAAATATTTCTGGGTAAAATTTTGACAAAATGTGTTCATATTGATAAAAAGATTATACTGTACAGTTGTGTATATAATACTGTATTATCTATCAATACGTCCAGGGAAACACATGTATATAATAGACGTGGGTGGATTTATTAGCAGAGGGCCTATTGATGATTCAACTGAAGCTGCATTACATATTAATCCAGGTTTAACAGTATAAATAGGTTACAATGATCACAGAAAATGTTTTACATTTTATAACAAAAAGAAATAAAAAAAATCATTAATAAATTCAAATATTTATATCATGTTACAAAATATCTACAAAAATGAACAAACACGTTTTGTACCATTTAGTAAAAACATGTAAATCTAGAAATTATATACCGGTATCAAAACAAGTCAAATTGGCCCTATACTATAACCAGGATTTCAGCACCATAGTGATGACCATAACGATGACCGTATGGTGACCATAATTATAATATCTAATTAAGACATAGATCTTTCATGGAAGCATGTTGTATTTACTTTGAATCAGACTGCACAAAACACTTGTCTGAACTGTAAAACATTAAATTCTGGCATGTGACTCAAATTGATATTTTGTATTAATGCTCACATTTACAGGCCTTAATGAACTATCCTATGCTGAATGGCTGTGGATAATATTTATAATGATAAACATCCAGTTGACATATAGAGCTCACCTTATAACCAACATGGAAGCAAGAACAAGAAAAATAATATCAAATTTCATCGAAAGGGTAAACTTAATTATAAAGCTGGAAAGTAAATGAAAATTAAAGATTGATAAAAATCTTGAATTCCCTTTAATTCAACACCAATAAAAGAAATAATGCTTAAGCCCATAAGAAGGTAATTCTGCCTTAAATCAAGATATACTTAATCATTGTCTTGTTGTGGCATTTATATTGACCATAAATGCCATAACAAAGTGCTTAAATTTACATTCCTACCCATTATGTTGTCTTTGATCACAACTTTATTTTTACTAAAGTAAACATTCCTTATCAATGGTGTAATCCATGGAACGGAACAGTCAATTTGACCGCAAACTGTGGCTGTTTCTATCACAACGGCCACACACTGAGTGGCATTTCTTGTATCTTTAATAACAAATCTTTATAGTTGCTTCATATCGTGGCATTGTCATGCAAGTACAAATATTTGTACACATGTATGTACCTCACAAAGTATCCTTTAATGAGAGACTGATGAGGACAACTTGTATTTTGAAACAACATGGAAATAAGAACAGGGATATAATGCTCTCAATAAAACCAGAATGACTTCTGTTCTGTAGGAGTAAATAAAAACGCACCAGAATACAGGACCAATAACCATGGCATACAGTCACCATGTCCAACATTCATATATTATTATTTCTGAAGTAATGAACACTTTTTCCCAGAAACTTTGTAAGTATATTTTTCAGATAAAATAATAAATAAGGGGCACCTACTGTACAAACCGAACTAATATAAATTATAAACAATCTACATATCATACAAGATAGGTTTATCGCAATTATTCAAAATAAATTATTGCTGAAAAATACTCTCTTTTGATGAGAAATTGCATGAAAGTAAGGACTTTGTTCCAGCAGATATTTGTATGATGTTGAAATGTACATAAACATTTTAGGACATACAATTACGATCAGAAAACAACACAGCATTATATACAAAAGCCAATAAGCAGTAAATGACCATCTAGTAAACACTGATCCAAGCTATTGTTTATTCATCATAATGTTTATTCCAATCATAACATTCCTCTTGACTCGAAATCTTCATCCAAAATCACATAACACACATTTTCATACCATATTTACTGAAGTAAGTGTGGTGCGTTGTAACATAAATTATCTATACATAATCCTATACTTGTCTCCCTCTAATTTGGGGGCTGTGATCGCTCATTCGATCAGAGCATTAACTACATAAACTTAGGTGATGAGCTTTGAACTTACTGTATAAGCTCTGTCTCAATCTACTCGATAAGCTCTATCTGGACCTTTATGATAAGCTCTATTTGAACCTACTGGTTAAACTCTATCTGAAACTATGGGATAAGCTCTATTTGAACCTACTGGGTAAGCTCTATCTTAACCTACTCTATAAGCTTTCTTTAAATCTGCACGATAATTTAACCTCTCTGTGAGCCTACTGGATAATCTCTATATGAACCTACTGGGTAAGCTCTATCTTAACCTAGTGGATAAGCTTCCTTTAAATCTGCCGATACTGTGGTAATTTAACCTCTGTGTGAGCCTACTGGATAATCTCTATATGAACCTACTGGGTAAGCTCTATCTTAACCTAGATAAGCTTTTTTAAATCTGCATGATAATTTAACCTCTGTGTGAGCCTACTGGATAATCTCTATATGAACGTACTGGGTAAGCTCTATCTTAGCCTAGTGGATAAGCTTTCTTTAAATCTGCCGATACTGTGGTAATTTAACCTCTGTGTGAGCCTACTGGATAATCTCTATATGAACTTACTGAGTAAGCTCTATCTTAACATAATGGATAAGCTTTCTTTAAATCTGCACGATAATTTAACCTCTGTGTGAGCCTACTGGATAAACTCTATATGAACTTACTGAGTAAGCTCTATCTTAACATAATGGATAAGCTTTCTTTAAATCTGCAGATACTGTGGTAATTTAACTTCTGTGTAAGCCTACTCGATAAGCTTACTTCAAGTCTTTTCAATAAAATCTCAAATATGTTCTTGAACCATAAATTTAAAGATAAACTGTCCTTGAAACTGCTTAATAATTTTGCTGACATTTTCTTTTTCAATAAATATATTTACTAGATTTATTATCACCAGGTACTGATCAAATGATGACAAAATTAAGTTAATATTTCTGTATCTATATCACTTCAGTGTCTGTTGAATGTGTTTCTGATTAAATAAACACTTTTATTTCTAATTTCTGTAACATGTCATTTAGATATCATACATTATAACAATGGTTTTTCTTATGATCTGAGAATCATTTCCAACAACAACACAGCGTACAGACAAATCTAGACACACACTGAGATCAGCAACTCAGTTTACATATCTGTAAACAAGAAATTTCACATTATACATTTGTAAATGAATATAAGCTCCGATGGGATCTTAAATGATGATGCAGCACATGCTTTCTATGCTCATTGTCATACGGCAATACCACTTCCAATACACTACACTCATACTTCACAATACACTGAATTAACACTGCACTAATTCAGTAAAATTTATGGAAATGACTTTGTACAATATCAGGACATTTTATACAGCAAATATGCACACTGACTGTACAGCACATCACATACACTCCAATGACGACACTGCATTACATATTAAGCATTGATTTTTCAAGACACTGTAGTTTTAATGCAGTCCCATCAACATGTACAAGCTGTTATAAGGATTTAAGTATATATCTATACATAGATCTGTAATGTCTTTTAATTGTCATGCTGGTTAAAGCGACCGAAGTCAGCAATTCACCATCCATTAAAGATGTGTTATTTCATACACTGATCAACATATTTCAATTTAGTCCAGAGCATTTCACTCCGTTATCTTGTCCAAATTATTCTGAATTTCTATCATTCTTTATGTACTTACCTGAAGTTCATTGACTCCAGACCAATACATAAAAATCAACAGAACATCTGAATAATTTGAAATAATCTTGACCTTGCAAATGACCTTGCTATACAGTCGCAACCACATAATTCATCAATGAGGTGACAAATGAACTTAACTCTGGCAAACACATGTCAGATTCAAAATAAGTAGAAAAAGGAATGATTCTCTATGCTGATGCACGTCACCTCTTTCATAAGGCTCATAACTCATGATCCACTTATTTGACATAAGGAACTGATGACATCAGCTAATCTGACTGATTAAGTAAAATAAAAAAAGCCTTTGTCAGCCTGATGGAATTGTGAATGTTGTAGCACCAAATCATCATTACGAAATAAAAGGGATGATCTATCAAAGTCGTATGTTACTTAAACCTCTTTGTTTGAATCGAAATATCTGGAAATAGTAAAAAGGTATGACCAAGATGTAAAATAGGTTCACCTTCTGACAAAATGTTTATCAAACAATCCACTTAAAAGGCGTTAACCATAAAGAATGGAACTTCTTCCTTATACTATTTATCCTCCAAAAAGCTCAGGGGGCCAATGAGTAAATTCTGACTCAGAGTCAGCTGTTGGCATTTCCACTGAAACTTATATAGATTTAAACAGTAACCAACTTTGTTTTGTGGTTGATGGCTTTCCACTATTCTGTAACAGTTTGGTAACACGGCTAATACAGAGGTGGCATACTAGGAAACACATTAGCCTTTCAGCAGGCCAACCTGGGTTTGATTCCCTGACAAGACAAGAAGTAGGAGGAGTCATTTGACCAGAATCCTATAAACTTTCCTGTTCTAACTAATCATATGTATAGTCTCCAGATATTCTAAATAATTACTATAAGAAGTTTAAGTACCATGTTTACATGTCCCATTAGATGTCAATTACTGTCAGTTATAGTTTACAGGGACATCCAAATGTTGATCAGTAAATGGAATAGTCAGCTACTTAAGAATCTATTTTGAATAGAAGGCCATTAATGGCGACACATAAGAACATAACACATTGATCAATGTATTGTTATTTAAAATGTGATCTTCGGCTGAATATTAAGTACATTACCTATGTGTTTGATTTAGAGTAAAAAAATAATAGAAAACATATTCTTAATGGTTTTGAAACGAATCCCAGGCATACAAATACATGGGAGATATTAGATAATAATTTACTGTTCTGTTACAAGGTCTGTGGTGATTTCCCCATGTAAGGGGAGACTACTGCTATAATTGTTGAATTTCTGCAGTCCCACTACTGCTGCTAGAGGACTGGGTTGAAGCTCTTTTATTTTCCTCTGATTCTGGTAGTTCTAGTCTTGCTACTCGTTCTAATACATCCATCCATCTAAAATAAATAAAATAAAAAAATCTATGAAGATCCAACAAATCTGGAGAAGTTTTATATGACATATAAGTACAACATATAGCAAAGATATACCTGGATATCCTTCGTACTGGTACTAACATTGTTTGTATATATGTAAATATGTAAACAATAATGAGAAAAACTGATGCATACAAATAAAAGAAAATTTGAATTAATCAAAATGATTGCATTGATACAAAAAACAAAACAATTTACACTGAGATTTATACTTTCTGCAGATTTTACACGAACAAACAGAAGACACACAAGTGAACAGTGTCTTTTAAAAAAAAAAATTCGAGTTTGATACAGTAGAACCAAATAATGAATTAAACTATATCATACAGCTGTTTTGTGCTTCTAGGACTTTTCAGTGATGCATAGGAGGTGACTGAGGAAAATCCAAAGTGATCAAATGAAAATAAAAATATAGGCAGGGAGGTACAGCAGATCCATAAATAAATATAATTACAGAAACAATATCCAGTAACGGTGCATGTGTATTGTGAGTATTCCAAAGAATGGAAATGTGTCATGCAAGAAATGGCATGTCGATCTGCATTCAGTGTAAGCTGTGTTTGTATTCTAATATATTATTTTATCTTGCACATGTGTTTTCTGTATAATGCTTGACTTTGTTTTGTTAGGGAGGGATAACATTGTGTTATCCAACAGGAGAAATATAAAAAGCATCCATAAGAACGCTCGAAAAATACGCAACTACTATAATTACAAAACAGACTTATAAATGTCACAAGAACATTTAAGCATGTATGCACAGAGAATTAGCATACTAAATAGTTGTGATCTTTATTTTACCAAAACCTTTCACAAATTAAAAAATGTTATCATATATTATGCAAAGATAATGTTAAATGAATATTTTGAATAAAATTTTATGACAAGACTATGTTCAAAACTCATCAAATTTCAATTTTTCACAAAAACAAATTAAGAAAATTTGATCAGATACCATATGAGTTACTTCCCTTGCAACATTATTATTTAATGATTATCATTTGTATTTCATGTTATCGTCTTTAAGTTACATTTTTAAAGTGATACCTGATGAAATCTTAATAGTATAAAAAATAAATTAAGTACAAAATTACTGGAACCTATTATTTAACATATTTACAAAGCAATATCTACATTTTTTCATTAATTTCTGATTTTGCCTACATCACAGGCATGTAAACGTGCGACAGTTATTCCCCTTTGACTGTTTAAATTTGTTTAAGTTAAATTCAAATCAGATAAAATTCACAATTGCTTATGAGCATGCATTTAGACCACATTGTCATAAAGTTATACAACATGACGACTTTGAAATGTGAGAAGTTCGCATACTGATACCACAGACCACGAATAGTTTTATATTTTTTACCCTTTTCTTTTCTCTCTCAGTTTTCTTACATCGTTTAAATGGTTAGATTTCCAAGTTACAAACAACAATGTTACCAATGTACTAATATATTTAATGTCATAATATTTAAAGTTATACACACTTATAAGTTAGGTACAAGATTTAGAAAACAAAACAAATATTTCTTGTTCGGGCCTCATCTTTAAACAATATATGAGCAAACAATTGCCATAAATTTCTAGGATCCCTAATAATGGCGATCCTACAAGTTACATGTTTGAAGTAAATAACCATAGAGACTAGGCATCAATTCCAGCCCATACTCCATATACAGTGATGTGCCAATAGTCTTTCACAGTTTTTTCATTTTATGTTATATTTTTTATATTTCTGACTTTTTTCAATGAATTTTCTTGATTTTGACAATATTTAGCCATTTGTACAATGATTGGCTTTTTTTCTATGTACGTTTACCATAATGATGTCAAAATGGCATCCGGAAAATTGCATGTTGTAAATAAAATATTTCCATTGTCATACACTGTGTCACAATGAGGAAAGTAATGTATCGAGTCAAAAATGTTGTTCAAACACTTTTCTTGCCCATAAGAATACTGAAAATTTGACTAGTATGTAAACAACAGAAAACAATTGAAATATTATGAGTAGAAACAGGAAACAATTCTCCTTGACTGCACAAAATTTCATTAAAAATGATCCATGAACGAAGTAAGAGAAATTAATTTGGAAATGGTAAGAAATACAAAGAATATATGATAAAATTTTAAAGATATGTAAAACTAATGGCATATCAATGTATATATAGGTATTAATCCTTTAACTACAATACATTATATGGACTCCAGGTTGGTAATTCACTCCATGTACATAACCATATATTCTCTCTGCACGTGACAATTGTTTACAATTAAGTCAACAAAAATGACATGTTTTGTTAACCACAAATTAGGTCCTTTTTTAATAGTACAGACTGATTTTATATAACAGTTGTGATAGCTGAATGGGTATGATTAAGTCTGTGAAGGTTATGGTATAATGGTGTTGAAACCTAGACATGTTATTCTTTTTAACACTTTTTTTTATATTCATCTACTTTGAAGTTGATATGTCCTCAACTTCTTTTCATTTTTTTTTTTTTTTTCATATTTCAACATTAATATCTTTTTTGTATCTGTCATGTCGGAAACTGTGACATTAAGATTTATCAAATTTTAAAATTTCACTGTCAATGAAAGATTCTTCTAATAAATATAAAAAAAGACCTCCATCTAAAAAGCACAACTAGACTTCACACAAACCTGCAAATAAATGTATGATAAATCTTCAAGATGGCCACCTGTCATCCATTTTGTTAACTTAGTCTCACTCAAAATTTACTGAGACCACTAGAGACCAAGAGGACCAATGGAAACTACATGGGAAATTTGAGAAAGATCCTTTCAGTACTTTTGGAAACATTCATGAACTTTCATAAAGATCCTTCCTGTAAATTTCAAGAGAAAGTGATCACAAACTTAACCAGTTTTAATACAAGATGGCCACCTGCCAGCCGTTTTGTTTTTCTTATTCTCAATATTGAAAAGGAGCCACTAGTGACAAAAATGAACCTTGTGTGAAATCTATGATTTGTTACCGGGACGGTGGATCTGAACTATGTCAATGGATCTGAACTATGTCATTGGATCTGAACTCTTTCTTGTGGTGAGGTGATGGTGGACCTGAACAATGCTGTGTAACTGGTGACAGTGGATCTGAACTATGTCGTGTTACTGGGACGGTGGATCTGAACTATGTCAATGGATCTGAACTATGTCATTGGATCTGAACTCTTTTTTGTGGTGATGGTGGACCTGAACAATACTGTGTAACTGGTGACAGTGGATCTAAACTATGTCAATGGATCGGAACTATGTCGTGTTACTGAGACGGTGGATCTGAAGTATGTCAATGGATCTGAACTCTTTCTTGTGGTGATGGTGGACCTGAACAATACTATGTAACTGGTGACAGTGGATCTAAACTATATCAATGGATCAGAACTATGTCGTGTTACTGAGACGGTGGATCTGAAGTATGTCAATGGATCTGAACTCTTTCTTGTGGTGATGGTGGACCTGAACAATGCTGTGTAACTGGTGATGGTGGATCTGAACAATGCTGTGTTACTGGTGACTGTGGATCTGATCAATGCTGTGTTACTGGTGACTGTGGATCTGAACAATGCTGTGTTACTGGTGACTGTGGATCTGAACAATGCTGTGTTACTGGTGACTGTGGATCTGAACAATGTTGTGTTACTGGTGACTGTGGATCTGAACATTGTTGTGTTACTGGTGACTGTGGATCTGAACAATGCTGTGTTACTTGTGACTGCGGATCTGAACAATGTTGTGTTACTGGTGACTGTGGATCTGAACATTGTTGTTTTACTGGTGACTGTGGATCTGAACATTGTTGTGTTACTGGTGACTGTGGATCTGAACAATGTTGTGTTACTGGGACGGTGGATCTGAACTATGTCATTGGATCTGAATTCTTTCTTGTGGTGATAGTGGATCAGAACTATGTTGTAGGCTTACAAGTTGTGGTGAAGGTTTTGTTGACAACATATTTAGAAATAATTTACTTGTCTCGATGGCTCTGCTCCCCTGCCAAGAAATGATGGATCTGTCCCTGCTGGTTTTTGTGGTATAGTTTAAATCCCTTCTCTTTGTCAGCAGAGTCTGTGTCATTCACCTCCACAGTATAACCAGGCAGTGGGATTGAGAAAAGTGCACACACATCCTAGGAAAGATAAACAAAGGTCATAGGTCACTGTCTGTTAAAACATGTATCAAAAATAACAAAGTTGAACAGCTCTCTCTCTCCATCTCTGGGTGTTTCGCTGTCGCACCTATGTCAGCCCTTCTGGTCAGTGGTTGGGACTTTAGATGGTCTTTTCTCTCTTCCGTGCCTTGATATTTCACTCTGGAATGTCGAAGTTGCAACCGGCGGCACGAAACTCCAGTCTCTCGGTGTAGTCAAATGGCGTTCACAGTTTCCCCATGTCGAAGTCGGTGTAAACAATCTATCATTAAATACCTTCGGATACTGCGGTGGGTACAGATACCATGAAAGATCATGCCTATACTGAACAAACCACCTGCTTTTTGTTCAGACAGTTAAAACAACATCATTTTCTGACCAGTAGTACGCGTTCAGCCCAAGCCGGGTGTCATCAGTCTCCTCATACACAATGTGTTAACTGTCATTAACCGTTAATTATACAATCAGCCAAGCCTTTCCTGCTTGTTAGGTCACCTGGGTAAATTTGTTTACTTAAGGTAATTACATGTGTTAGGGTCACGCTCATTGTGGTTTCCTAATTATCAATGGATCAGACCACATCAAATGTTTCGTCGCAGTGACCAGTCAATTAATTTTTCTGTAGATTTTTTTTTTTTAAAATCTGATCTCCAAAAAGTACCTGCGCACTATACGCGAGTGCGCACTATACGCAAATATTTACGGTATGTATAAAAATTGTATATGCATATATGCTCCGTCTTCTAAAATGTCACTTGCTCCTGTAATTTGAGTGATGTCTTCATTATCATTAATCTCACTTGATTTGTATTGAAAATTGTGTGTATTTTTCGTATCAAATTTCTTGCTTTGAGAAACACATCACAACATTTTTAATGACCTTGACATTTGATCTTCAGCCAATGAATTTCTTTCTCAAGTCTAATCAATAAATGTGACATTGACCTTTGACTCTGACCTTTCAGTATTCATCTGTAAATTATGGAATAGCTCTTATAGTTCTTAATATAAAACACATTAAAATATAATTGTTTTAATCACATATCTACAGATTTCATTACATAGGTATGGTAAACAAAGATCATATGACTGCTGGGTATGACGGTTTTACCTGGTGTGCCTTGAAGCAGTAGAGAACATAGTCAGACTGGACGACAACCCAACGCTTAGTCCAACTCTTGCCGCGGTCAGTGCTGACCTGAAGATAACTGGAAAGTACCGAAGGATCACTGGCTTTCTTCTGTTTAGGGAAAAAAGAAGATCTTTTAACAAAATACAATATCTTTATATGCATGTTTCAGTGCACTTATGTGTGCTTCAAAGCTTTATCTATAGGTTTTAGTGGAGGTATATACAGACAAGATAATTAACGCATGCTTCCTATTTTCTCTTGTGCTTTGATGGGTTTTATTTTTGTACACTTCAATGGAGTTTGTGCTCCTCCAGCTTGCTTTTGTATAGATCAATGGAGCTTGTTTGTGTACACTTCAATGGAGCTTGTTTGTGTACACTTCAATGGAGTTTGTCTGTGTACACTTCAATGGAGCTTGTTTGTGTACACTTCAATGGAGCTTGTTTGTGTACACTTCAATGGAGCTTGTTTGTGTACACTTCAATGGAGCTTGTTTTTGTACACTTCAATGGAGCTTGTTTGTGTAGCTTGTTTGTGTATACTTCAATGGAGTTTGTCTGTGTACACTTCAATGGAGCTTGTTTGTGTATACTTCAATGGAGCTTGTTTGTGTACACTTCAATGGAGTTTGTGTGTGTATGCTTCAATGGAGCTTGTTTGTATATACATCAATGGAGCTTGTTTGTGTATACTTCAATGGAGCTTGTGTGCGTACACTTCAGTGGAGCTTGTTTGTGTATGCTTCCAGGAACAAGTAATCGCTTCAAAAGTACTTCTCTAAGAAAACTATGAAAGTTTTATCATCAGTAATGTTAATGTAAGTTTTTATCAAAATGATTAATTCCTATTTTACACTGGCAAAAATGTAATAAAACAAATCATATCAGTGTAAATAAAACATCTTAAAACAACACCAGAAATTATAACAAGAGGCCCATGGGCCTTAACGGTCATCTGACAAAAAGCAAGCCAAACCTAGAAAGTGGGTTGAGGTCATTCATTTGAACAAACTTGGTAGCCTCTCCTCCAAGCATCTTACAGGCCCAATATCAGCACTCATGGACTTTTGCTTGTTGAGAAGAAGTCGTTTGTATATTTTAACATATTTGACCCCTGTGACCTTGAAAGTGGGTTGAGGTCATTCATTTGAATAAACTTGGTAGCCTTTCCTCCCAGCATGCTACAGACCCAATATCGGCACTCATAGACTTTTGCTTATTGAGATGAAGTCCTTTGTATATTTTAACATATTTGACCCCTGTGACCTTGAAAGTGGGCCAAGGTCATTCATTTGAACAAACTTTGTAGGGCTCCATGCCAGCATGCTATGGGCCAAGTATTAGCCCCCTAGGCCTTCTAGTATTTGAGAAGAAGTTATTTAAAGATTTTGACATATTTGACCCCTGTGACCTTGAAAGTTGTTCAAGGTCATTCATTTAAACAAACTTGATAGCCCTTCATCCCAGCATGCCACAGGCACAATATCAGCAATCTGAGCCTTTTGGTATTGAGAAGAAGTTGTTTAAAGATTTTAACATATTTGACCCCTGTGACCTTTAAAGTGGGTCAAGGTCATTCATTTGAACAAACTTGGTAGTCCTTCATCCCAGCATGCTACAGGCCTTATTTTAGTTGCCTGGGCCTTTTGATTACTGAGAAGAAGTCCTTTGAAGATTTAAAGACATTTGACCCCTGTGACCTTGAATGAAGGTCAAGGTCATTCATTTGAACAAACTTGGTAGGGTTTCATCAAAGCAAGCTACAGGCTAAATATTAGTTGCCTGGGCCCTCCAGTTATTGAGAAGAAACCCCTGTGACCTTGAATGAAGGTCAAGGTCATTCTTTTTAACAAACTTGATAGGGCTTCATCAAAGCAAGCTACAGGCCAAATATTAGTTGCCTGGGCCTTCCAATTATTGAGAAGAAGTCGTTTGAATGAAAAGTTTACGGACGGCGCACGGCGGACGACGACGGACGAAGCATGATGACTATAGGTCATCGGACCCTTCGGGTCAGATGACCTAAAAACCAAAAAAGATTTTAAATTGTTATATACTCTGTGCTGGTATAGATTTCATCCAAATTACCTGTAACACCCGTCGACGTGTTGAACCTGTTGTTTGTTTTTCTGGCACTTCCTCCTCATCCACTCCATTCTTCAGTACTGTATAGCACTTGTCACAGACACGGTTATACCTGAAGTTGTCATAGGCCAGCGGCACCTTCTTACCAGAACATTTACTACACACCACCTGTAAGGTCAAAGGTTAAATAGAGTCACCCCTTCACAAATTCAAAGTTTTACTCCCTACTTGAAAGATTTTATATCTCAAAAGATATTTTTGCTTTTGTTGTTTCATAAAAATTCAAATATCTAAAGAGGTATTTAAGTTTGACCTAGATTGTCGATGGCACAGTAGGTAATGTTATGGAATTATAACTTACGATGCCACATGCACGGCAATGATGTCGCCGTCGGAATGCTGTGAAGGAGTTTGTGCACTGCATACACATAGTAACTTCGTCGTCTTTAATCCACTTTGGTGCTAACTTTCCAATCTCCATTTCTGGAAGCTGAAATACAAAATTTATGAAAATGATTGAATTAAGTCATAAGTTAATCAGCTATTGTAATAGTTAAGAGTTGTCTCCCTTGATGAACAATTGCTAATGAATATTCCTGTTAATTTTCCCTGGAAAGTGGGGGATATATTTAGTGATAGAATTATATTCTTACCACCTAATCTACACCTAAATACAGAATTCAAACAGATATTAAAAATTCTCCATTTTCTTGCACAAAATTGTTTTCAAAATTTCCGAAATGAATTGTTTTTTGGAGGTTAGGTTTTATTATTTTCCGTTTTGATGCTTTACTACATCCATATAAATTACTACGTCCATATAAATCACTACGTCCATATAAATTACTACGTCCATATAAATTACTACGTCCAAATTCATTGCTAAATCCATATTCATTACTACGTCCGCATAAATAAATAAAGAAATAATTAAGGTGATACTTTGACATGAAAGTGTAGCCATACATTAACTTTAGAATTAATTTCTACTTATTTTTACCAATACATGTACCTTGATTGTACACACACATTCTCGAAAGCAAAAGACTTCATATATTTCCGTCAAGTACAGAGAGAAAATTTTTCAGATAGGTTAAAGTTTTTGTTGAAATATAATGACTATACATCAAGCCAGGCAAAAGTTTGAACCCTTGGATTTTAAAGTAAACCTTAGAAATAATAGTTATATTAATTGTATGTGAAACTATTAAATTAAAACAAGCAATCCAATTTATTGATATCATTACTTATAGTTACTTACAAATATTAAACTTTAACCAGAACCTTTGTTTAAGACTAGAAACACATTTTGATATTGTAACTGCTTGCAGTCATACATTGCTTTTTTAGGAGACAGATGGAAGATGATATTCTCAAGACAACTTAGTAATTTTCAATACTGCAAGGAGGAAAAGAATTATAGGAATTTGATATTATCATACATAGAGAGAGATGCAATGTGTTTGGAAAGGTTGTTTTGAATTTTTGATAGATTTGTGAAAGGCATCAACAAAAGCAATATGATATAAGACTGCCATATCTCTCTGATGCTGTAGGATAGATAAAGATATTACCATATTAGCCAAGTGAAGGAGGAAAAATGGGTAAATGTATAGAAGTAAGGTATAGTCCTGAGGGATCCATTATACTGTTTAGTGACAGACATTGTGTAGAAGGTCCTTTTTACCTTCGGCACTTTCTTTAACTCACTCTGAACGGACATTCTACAATTAAGCTTTAAAAAAAGATGACTTTTATTTTAAAAAAAATGTTAATATCTTGTAATTTAGAGAACTAAATCACCAAGTTTTCATTTTAAAGTAAAACGGTAATTTTGTACTTAATATAAATACATATTGTATATAATTTGAATTCACATTTTATTATAACTTTGTAACATAAAAATAATCATTCCTTCCACAGCCTAATGAATAACTTACATGAATATTTTAAAGACATAAACATTCTTTAGAAATCTGCTGATAAAGAGCTTATCAATATAATGTCATAAATAAAATTGTATGTTCATGCTGGAGTTCAGAGCCTCAGCTGTGGAAGTCCCACTCCCACTGCCATGGGTACATCTGATTTTACTTATAAGAGTAATAATTGAAAGTTATACCACACATACATCTGTACATGATTATTGTATAATATATACAGTGTATATGTCTGTGAATAAGTCCATGCCTGGTATAAACCCATTCATCTTTACTGCTGTTTTGAAAAATTTACAAAAAATTCTATATCATTGTTCTGTAATAAGCCCACCTCTGGACTCTAAGTGTAGATTGTGTTTGTTGGCATGTTGTATTACATATTGTTTGTTGACATATTGTATGACATTGTATTACATATTGTTTGTTGACCAACTGTATTACATATTGTTTGCTGAAAGACTGTATTACATATTGTTTGTTGACAGACTGTATTACATATTGTTTGCTGACAGACTGTATTACATATTGTTTGCTGACATATTGTATTACATATTGTTTGTTGACAGACTGTATTACATATTGTTTGCTGACAGACTGTATTACATATTGTTTGTTGACAGACTGTATTACATATTGTTTGTTGACAGACTGTATTACATATTGTTTGTTGACAGACTGTATTACATATTGTTTGTTGACAGACTGTATTACATATTGTTTGTTGACAGACTGTATTACATATTGTTTGTTGACAGACTGTATTACATATTGTTTGTTGACAGACTGTATTACATATTGTTTGTTGACCGACTGTATTACATATTGTTTGTTGACAGACTGTATTACATATTGTTTGTTGACAGACTGTATTACATATTGTTTGTTGACATGTTGTATTACATATTGTTTGTTGATAGACTGTATTACATATTGTTTGTTGACAGACTGTATTACATATTGTTTGTTGACATGTTGTATTACATATTGTTTGTTGACATATTGTATTACATATTGTTTGCTGACAGACTGTATTACATATTGTTTGTTGATAGACTGTATTACATATTGTTTGTTGACATATTGTATTACATATTGTTTGTTGACAGACTGTATTACATATTGTTTGTTGACATGTTGTATTACATATTGTTTGTTGATAGACTGTATTACATATTGTTTGTTGACAGACTGTATTACATATTGTTTGTTGACATGTTGTATTACATATTGTTTGTTGATAGACTGTATTACATATTATATATTGTTTTTGATAGACTGTATTACATATTGTTTGTTGATATATTGTATTACATATTGCTATACATATAATGTGTAAGACTTTGTATTACATAATATAGAAATACATGTATAAAGACTGTATTACATATTGTTTGTTGACATGTTGTATTACATATTGTTTGTTGACATATTGTATTACATATTGTTTGTTGACAGACTGTATTACATATTGTTTGTTGACATGTTGTATTACATATTGTTTGTTGATAGACTGTATTACATATTGTTTGTTGACAGACTGTATTACATATTGTTTGTTGACATTGTATTACATATTGTTTGTTACATATTGTATTACATTTGTTTGATGTTGTATTACATATTGTTTGTTGATAGACTGTATTACATATTGTTTAAAACAAATTACATATTGTTTGTTGACAGACTGTATTACATATTGTTTGTTGACATTTTGTATTACATATTGTTTGTTGTTTGTTGACAGACTGTATTACATATTGTTTGTTGACATGTTGTATTACATATTGTTTGTTGATAGACTGTATTACATATTGTTTGTTGACAGACTGTATTACATATTGTTTGTTGATAGACTGTATTACATATTGTTTGTTGACAGACTGTATTACATATTGTTTGTTGACCGACTGTATTACATATTGTTTGTTGACAGACTGTATTACATATTGTTTGCTGACAGACTGTATTACATATTGTTTGCTGACAGACTGTATTACATATTGTTTGCTGACAGACTGTATTACATATTGTTTGTTGACAGACTGTATTACATATTGTTTGTTGACAGACTGTATTACATATTGTTTGCTGACCGACTGTATTACATATTGTTTGCTGACAGACTGTATTACATATTGTTTGCTGACAGACTGTATTACATATTGTTTGCTGACATATTATATGACATACTATAGATTATTTGTCGATATAATGTATTAATACTATATATTGTTTTTTGATATCTTAAAAACATACCATATACTATTATCGATATATTGTACTAATGCCATATACATATAATGTGTAATACTTTGTACAAATATAGAAATAAATGTATAAGGACTTAATACATATCACACGGTACATGACTGGTACCTTAACTATCTCAGAAGGAGTAGATTTCCTATTTCTACTTTTTCTGATTTCAGAGGAATTTCTCCTGTCATTTCGCAGTATTTCGCGAGAAGCAGAGTGCCTACTGTGTTCAGTAGAAGACCTAATACTGGAATATCTGGAGGTATCAGATCTAGAACTGCTCGTTCTGGATATATCCGAATAAAAAGAGTTGGAATCTCTACTCCTCAGCTAAAACAAAAATTTATTTCTTAAGAGTAAACTTGGCTAAATTTTTTTTTTCAATTGTGTCTCCTCCTGCCAAAGCCTCAACCTATTTCATGTGGAATTTTTTTCTTGTAAACAGTTATATTATGCGCATCTTTCTTGTTTTGTAAGCACAGAGAGTGTTTATTAGATTGAAAACCATAAAAATTTACTTAAGTAGGAAATCTGATTACTTTCTTAGTCCTAAAACACTTTCTGTTCATCATAAAACCATTATACATGTATTAAATTAAATCTAGAATCTTGAAAATTGCTTTCCCTTAGAACATTATGAGAACCTTAGCCAGGTACATACCCCACTGTCCCTTAAGTGGTCCTCATGGCCCCTCAGAGACTGTCTCCTGTGGCGGTAATCCTTTAGCGTCTCTTTCATTGACTGTTGGAAAAAATAAAAATACTGTAATTACAAGTAAACCTAAGTGACATATTTCAACATAGGAAATATGATTGTATATATCACACTAGAAATATTGAAAAACTTACACCTAATTTATGTATAATAAAGAAAAACACAAATGAAAATTTATTTTTTCCTGCTGATTTTTATAACAATGTATAAACTTTACATAATTAGTAAAGTAAAAGTTGTCTAAAATAAATTTACACTGTATATATTAGTAAGTACTTACCTCGCACCAGCCCATCAGTTCGCCAGCAGGATTCCTGGAGACAGAAATTTCAAATGCTAGCACAATTAAACACTTAACCACCTCTATAGAACAAGCATTTACGATTCCTTATCAATTCTCTATATCAAGACCATCTGCCAACAAAGGCCAATATTCTCTGTTTTCATGAGAGGCCTTTATAGAAAGGTTTGACTGTAGATGAGTGGTCTTTATAGAAAGGTTTGACAGTAGATGGGTGGTCTTTATAGAAAGGTTTGACAGTAGATGAGTGGCCTTTACAGAAAGGTTTGACAGTAGATGAGTGGTCTTTATAGAAAGGTTTGACAGTAGATGAGTGGTCTTTATAGAAATGTTTGACTTTAGATGTGTGGCCTTTATAGAAAGGTTTAACAGTAGATTTGTGGTCTTTATAGAAAGGTTTGACTTTAGATGTGTGGCCTTTATAGAAAGGTTTAACAGTAGATGTGTGGTCTTTATAGAAAGGTTTGACAGTAGATGTGTGGCCTTTATAGAAAGGTTTGACAGTAGATGTGTGGCCTTTATAGAAAGGTTTAACAGTAGATTTGTGGTCTTTATAGAAAGGTTTGACAGTAGATGTGTGGCCTTTATAGAAAGGTTTGACAGTAGATGTGTGGTCTTTATAGAAAGGTTTGACAGTAGATGTGTTGCCTTTATAGAAAGGTTTGACAGTAGATTTGTGGTCTTTATAGAAAGGTTTGACAGTAGATGTGTGGCCTTTATAGAAAGGTTTAACAGTAGATTTGTGGTCTTTATAGAAAGGTTTGACAGTAGATGTGTGGCCTTTATTGAAAGGTTTAACAGTAGATTTGTGGTCTTTATAGAAAGGTTTAACAGTAGATTTGTGGTCTTTATAGAAAGGTTTGACAGTAGATTTGTGGTCTTTATAGAAAGGTTTGACAGTAGATGTGTGGCCTTTATTGAAAGGTTTGACAGTAGATTATTATTTTTTTAAAGTCTTTTTTTTATTCAATACATGTAACTAGATACCTGCATATTGCTTTTTAAGCAAAATTATAAACAAATACTATTTATTTGGCTTTTAATAAGCCTGCTTTTCATTTTGAATAAGAAAGAACATTTTGGCTCCCACAGCCTACTGCAGGATAAAAGTGAGCCCAAGTTATTACTTAACATGTCTCACTTACAAATCAGTAAATTAAAGCAATTTGTAATGTTTTTATCAGAGCTAAAGCAGGTTATTTTTTTTTTCTTACAAAAGATATCGTCTTTACTTACTCGTCAAGGAATTGGATAATCTTCTGTCGACTTTTTACATAAAATGTATTTGGAATGTCAATGTTTTCTCCCTCCAGTATCTGTTAAAAAGATAAAGTATTACAAACACCTTTTAAATGTTGGTCATATTAATCCACAGATACAGTACTTAAAAAAAACATTTTCAAATGCACAAGTTCGTACTTTGTTATATTCACATAGAAATTTCCTCTGCACAATTCATATTAAGTTGATGTGGGTAGATGAATTCAATATACATATACTAACAAGCCTCTTTTTACAAAAAATGACTTCACATTGACTTGTAGGATGTACCCCAAGCCCCATGGGTCTCTTGTCTGTGTTAGAATAAATAATGATGTCACATTGACTTGTAGGATGTAACCCAGGCCCTATGGGTCTCTTGTCTGTGTTAGAATAAATAATGATGTCACATTGTCTTGTAGGATGTACCCCAGGCCCTATGGGTCTCTTGTCTGTGTTAGACTAAATAATGATGTCACATTGACTTGTAGGATGTACCCCAGGCCCTATGGGTCTCTTGTCTGTGTTAGACTAAATAATGATGTCACATTGACTTGTAGGATGTACCCCAGGCCCTATGGGTCTCTTGTCTGTGTTAGACTAAATAACAATGTCACATTGACTTGTAGGATTTGCCCAAGGCCTATGGGTCTCTTGTCTGTGTTAAGACTAAATAATGATGTCACATTGACTTGTAGGATGTACACCAGGCCCTATGGGTCTCTTTTCTGTGTTAGACTAAATAATGATATCACATTGACTTGTAGGATGTACCCAAGGCCCTATAAGAAATGATCTTATATTCTAGTATGTACCTCTTTTCTGTGTTAGACTTAATGATATCACATTGACTTGTGGGAAGGCCTATGGGTCTCTTGTCTGTGTTAAGACTAACAATGTCACATTGACTTGATGTCACATTGACTTGTAGGATGTACACCAGGCCCTATGGGTCTCTTTTCTGTGTTAGACTAAATAATGATATCACATTGACTTGTAGGATGTACCCAAGGCCCTATGGGCCTCTTGTCTGTGATAGACTAAGAAATGATCTTATATTCATATTAGTATGTAAACCAGGCCCTATGGACCTCTTTTCTGTGTTAGACTAAGTAATGATATCACATTGACTTGTGGGATGTATCCCAGGCCCTATGGGCCTCTTTTCTGTGTAAGACTTAGTAACAATGTCACATTGACTTACAGGATGTACACAAGGCCCTATGGGCCTCTTGTCTGTGATAGACTAAGAAATGACCTTATATTCATGTTAGTATGTAAACCAGGCCCTATGGACCTCTTTTCTGTGTTAGACTAAGTAATGATATCACATTGACTTGTGGGATGTATCCCAGGCCCTATGGGCCTCTTTTCTGTGTAAGACTAAGTAACAATGTCACATTGACTTACAGGATGTACACAGGGCCCTATGGGCCTCTTGTCTGTGATAAACTAAGAAATGACCTTATATTCATTTTAGTATGTACACCAGGCCCTATGGACCTCTTTTCTGTGTTAGACTAAATAATGAAGTCACATTGACTTGTGAGATGTACCCAAGGCCCTATGGGCCTCTTGTCTGTGATAGACTAAGAAATGACCTTATATTCATGTAAGTATGTACACCAGGCCCTATGGACCTCTTTTCTGTGTTAGACTAAGTAATGATGTCACATTGACTTGTGGGATGTATCCCAGGCCCTCTGGGCCTCTTTTCTGTGTAAGACTAAGTAACAAGGTCACATTGACTTACAGGATGTACACCAGGCCCTATGGGCCTCCTGTCTGTGTTCAATTGAAAAATAATGTCACATTGACTTGTGGGATGTATCCCAGGCCCTATGGACCTCTTGTCTGCGTTAGACTAAGAAGTGACTTCTCATTGATGTTAGTATGTACACCAGGCCCTATGGCCCCCTTTTCTGTGTTAGACTAAGTACTGATGTCACATTGACTTGTGGGATTTATCCAAGGCCCTATGGGCCTCTTGTCTGTGTTAGATTAAATAATGATGTCGCATTTGCTTGCCTGACTAAAATGCTGATTTGACGTGTATAGAATCCAGTTAAAACTTTTAAAGAGAAAAAAAATTGCAGCAAATGAAATGCATATTATATAAATTTATGGAAAGTTGTGTAATACACAAAACTGACAGCAAGCAAAAAATGTAAAACTGCTGATTTACTAAAGTAGAGCCAAAAATAATTTCTGATTGACTTTGATTGCGTTTAGATTATTATTACAATCTCCTTCAGGAGCTCTTGTTTTAATCATTATGTTTCAGAACAGCCAGGGGAACTTCTTTGTGTAATGTAATTAAAGTGGTTAATAGGAATGATCTGTTGAACTAATTAACATCAGTTTTCACAAGAAATAAGTGTTTAATAGGATTTTTTCTTTTCCACTGTTTCCTGGACACAAGGAGATATTTTTAGACAAAAATTCTATAGAAGTATTTTTTGCAAGAAAAAAATGACATGTTATTATAATATACCATCTAATTTATCTTCCTTTTTAATGATAAAGTCAGTTATCTTGTTTGTGACATATTTTTATGTTTTGTATCTACATGGTTTTACATGTTTGCCTGGTATGCCAATAAGATAATATCAGATAAATCTGAAGTGTAACAAGTATTGTACAGACTAACACCTACCCAGCGTACACACTTGTCAGTCCGATCCATTATCTACAACGCAAATAAACAAAATAAAACAACAAAAAGGTGCATCATGCAAAACAAAATACACCAAAAAAGAAACGAAAGTGAATCAACAACATATATACATCTTGTTGGTTTTTACTACTGTACATATATAACACTGTTCTAACTACAACATATACTGTGGTGATAGCATTCTGATATAGAATCAAACGACTGTCACATGACATTCTATAGACCCATGTGACTATAAAGTCACATGATTCTCACATGACATTCCACAATATTTCAGGACATGGGTTTGTGATAACTAACAAGATGCAGCTACCGCTGTATAAACTAGGATTTTATATGTTGAAGTGTGTAACTGACATCTCTACAATCCTGCTTTTTACTTATTTATCAAACTGAAATAAAAAAGAATCCTTAGCCACACTACTACACAGCAATTGGAATAACAGAAAATAGAATTTTCGTTTGATATATATATATAACTTAATTCTTAGTATCTAAATAAAAATTAAACATTGCAACATGCAGGGTAAAGCTGATGGTAATGCAACAAAAATGGTCTTGACAATGGTGGTAATGGTGACCTTGAAAATGGTGTTTACAAAGTGATAGTTGTGACATTGATGATAGTGGTAATATTGTGGTAATGATGACCTTGATAATGGTGTTTAATGATGACCATGATTGTAATGACCTAGACATTGTGACAATGTACTAACCTCTAATCCTTCCATGTCCAACTGGGCTTTGATGCGAAAACTTCCAAGTATTTGCTCACAGCAAATCAACATGAGGTCGTTGAACTGTAATGTCAACATTAGAATTAATGTGATGATGACAATGATGATGACAGTGATGATGACAGTGATGATGACAATGATGAAGATGGAATGTCTCCCACACATCATCTTTCCTTTGCTAGCATCACAAAACTAGATTTTAAATTGCCAAAAAACCTCTTGTTAATTGATGCAATCAGTGGTTTTTGCCAGTAACACTGTCAGCCGTATGGTGTTGAGGGCTGTTTTATCACACCGGTGCCCGTTCTCTCTAACCACAGAAACCTAGTAATGGGCAATGGGCAATATTTCTTTAAGTTGTACAAACTTGGTAATCAATAAATCTCCAATGTACGTGAAGACTCCTTCGGGCCAAAGAAATGTGAATAAAACCCAAACACAAAACAAAATCAAATCAAATAGCTGTCACCAGGCCCAGTTTGGTGGTGCTTGTATTTCTACAAATCAATTAAATATTGAAAGTAACAACTATAATTGTCAATTGAAAAAAATGAAACTGACATTTAACCATATTTATATTGCCATATCCTTCAAAGTCATAGTATCATATTGCTGTAAGGCTTAAATTGAAAACCGCTGTTTATTGTCCATCCCTTGGGAAACATTAGCTTAGAACATTTTTTCAGGAGTGGTGGAGAAGGGTATGGGGATAAATGAGTCATTGTAGCTTCATCTAATTTTGATTTGGTTGGAAGTGCAAAAAGCTTTTCATCTTTGAAAAAATCAATCTATTTTGACAACATGATACATTCTATCGAAAGTGTGACCTTACATTCAACAAACTGTGATGTGACTATATTTTAGAAGGGGCACAAGATACTGTCAGAAAATATTTTTTAATCAATTTGAACTTTTTTGAGTGACATAAAGATTTCAGTGAGACTTGAACTGTGAAATATGACTTTAATGAGAGAAGATACTTACCAAGAATACATAACGGTCTAGCCTCTCCCCACCTCTCGCAGAAATCTTGGTGATACGTCCCTCCCTTACAAGCTCTCGTGTGGGACTTATCAAGTCAATTGCAGCACCAAACTTTTCATTTATTTCCAGCAACTTTTGGAACTTCTCCTACAGAAAAACAAGATAAACACAAACTTCTTTGCATCACAGAAAACGTTTGTTTAAAATAAAATAAATACAAGCCTTTCTCCATTGAAAATATTTAAAAATTGTTAGAAAAATCTGAAACTCTAAACAAAACACAGGCCATCCTGATTAACATCTACAATCTACAAATCCACTTTCAGGAACATTATACAGCAGTGGTACAATACTATCAATCATACAGCAGTGGTACAATACTATCAATCAGGGGAAATAACTCTAGGTACATTAAGGTGTGTATTTATTTGTGAGATGTGTCAAAATAAATCTTCCCATTTTAACCCAGTAATAAAAGACATTGGATCCCAATAATATCTTTTTCTACATCATGGCTGTAAATCACCAAATATGATTCTAGGATTTATTTGTATTTCAATGTCTGGTTTTCAAATATAACAGAAATAACTACCATGTGGCAAATTCTTAGAACAATTAATAAAGTTCATAAAATTATTTTTTCAAAAAAGGACGATGCAGAAAATTCTACTGATACCAAAACTGAATCAGGATTTCATATTTTCTATGATAAGTTGCCCTGTCCAGCACTTAATAAGCATTACTTATATTACACAGTTGGAGAATGTTTTACTTACAATTTTCTTCATGGCTTCATTGGAATGACTAGCTGCCTTAGTAACAAGTTCTAGGGCCACTAAAACATCAACAGAGATATATGTACTTTAACTCAAAAATATCTACAGGAATACAGAAATAGTGAAACAGAAATCAACTGAATAGTTATCTTATGAATCTCATCCGTGAAACTGAAATCACAACAGTGAAACAGAAATCTTAACAGTGAAATGAAAATCTTAACAGTGAAACAGAAATCTCTACAGTAACACAGACATCTCTGAAGTTAAGAAATCTTTACATTGAAATTAAATCTGCACTATAAAACAGAAATCTTTATAGTAACACAGAAATATCTACCATTACACAGAGATCTCTTAAGTAACACAGAAATATCTACCATTACACAGAGATCTCTTAAGTAACACAGAAATATCTACCATTACAGAGATCTCTTAAGTAACACAGAAATATCTACCATTACACAGAGATCTCTTAAGTAACACAGAAATATCTACCATTACACAGAGATCTCTTAAGTAACACAGAAATATCTACCATTACAATCTCTTAAGTAACACAGAAATATCTACCATTACACAGAGATCTCTTAAGTAACACAGAAATATCTACCATTACACAGAGATCTCTTAAGTAACACAGAAATATCTACCATTACACAGAGATCTCTTAAGTAACACAGAAATATCTAATTACAGAGATCTTAAGTAACACATTACCATTACAGAGATCTCTTAAGTAACACAGAAATATCTACCATTACACAGAGATCTCTTAAGTAACACAGAAATATCTACCATTACAGAGATCTCTTAAGTAACACAGAAATATCTACCATTACAGAGATCTCTTAAGTAACACAGAAATATCTACCATTACACAGAGATCTCTTAAGTAACACAGAAATATCTACCATTACACAGAGATCTCTTAAGTAACACAGAAATATCTACCATTACACAGAGATCTCTTAAGTAACACAGAAATATCTACCATTACACAGAGATCTCTTAAGTAACACAGAAATATCTACCATTACACAGAGATCTCTTAAGTAACACAGAAATATCTACCATTACACAGAGATCTCTTAAGTAACACAGAAATATCTACCATTACACAGAGATCTCTTAAGTAACACAGAAATATCTACCATACAGAGATCTCTTAAGTAACACAGAAATATCTCATTACAGAGATCTCTTAAGTAACACAGAAATATCTACCATTACACAGAGATCTCTTAAGTAACACAGAAATATCTACCATTACACAGAGATCTCTTAAGTAACACAGAAATATCTACCATTACACAGAGATCTCTTAAGTAACACAGAAATATCTACCATTACAGAGATCTCTTAAGTAACACAGAAATATCTACCATTACACAGAGATCTCTTAAGTAACACAGAAATATCTACCATTACACAGAGATCTCTTAAGTAACACAGAAATATCTACCATTACACAGAGATCTCTTAAGTAACACAGAAATATCTACCATTACACAGAGATCTCTTAAGTAACACAGAAATATCTACCATAACAAATCTCAACTGTAACAATGAAATTCTTCGGCAAACACTAAAATATCTATACACGTAACTTTAAATCTCTCTGCCATGTCAACACTGAAATTTCTACTGTGCCATCTCTTTACATACCTTCAGCATTGTCTTTGTCCGGGGAGTCCTCAGGTAAGTGTTTGAGGTAATCTAGCAAGAAAAACCAACTATAATCATATCTATATTTAATTTTTACCTCTCATTCAGATTCAGTTTAGGTGGGACTGCAACTCAATTACTGTCATAAAGTGGAAAATCTCCATAAGTAAGTTCATGTACTTATTTTAGTCAATGAATTATTGTTTTACGCTGAAAGATAGTTGAGCTTAATAATTATTACACTAATAACAATTTCTAAACATGGATAATGAGTACTGTAGATTCACTGATTCAGAAATTACACAACATAATCATTAATCTGTTGATAGTTTGTCATCCTCGTGAAGAAGAAAAAGAAAATTGTGCTTTAGTCTGTTCTTGTCCCAAAATTGGAGTAAGTCAAAATTTATTTTTAGTAATACAGGTTTCAGTCATACTTAAAAGCTATTTAGATTGATGGTCCAGATTAAATCATGATTACTACAAAGGGATAAAGAATTCATCTAAAGATATGCAATAGAATCCACACAACCAGGAACCCAAATTAATTTAAGAACAAAGAAATATCACTTTAGTTTGTGTGTTTCAGAGACAATAAATTCCACCGCCATCTCTATAAATTTTAATGATCAATTAATGGAAAAATGATAGTCAACCACTGTGTGACTAGTATTGTGGACAGGGAGTATTGAGGGGGGTCCTAATCAGGGCGATCCATCTCCAGCAGACAGATGGCAGACTATGAATACCCATTATTGATGCATTGCTACGTTGACTGATTAAAGAAAGAGTCTCCAGACCGGAGTCCATCAGAGATAGAAATTGCTGGACCATGCAGGCTCATATATCATCTTCACAAATTGCAGATTCTATAAAAAGGAACATACACTACAATGGACTGAGCAGAATTGCAAGGGGAGATAACTCCTTCAATGTCAGTTTTGAATCAGACAAAATATGAACATCTTCTCAAACATTTTTTATGCAGAATTAATAGTGTAGGACAAAAATGTAACCTTTAATGTGGAATTGGAGTCCCCTCCACCTGACCGAACATCCTTTTTTGGGATGAGTGTTACCACCTTGTAGGAGGAGCTGATAACAAGATATTAATATGATATTATGCTGCGACACCGATGATACCTTGTAGAAGGAACTGATAACAAGGAACCCACTGGACCTGATCTTACATATGATATTATGTTGTAAGATGGGTGTTACCTTGTAGGAGGAGCTTATAACGAGGAACCCTCTGGACTGGTTCTAACATGTGATGTTGCAGGGCCAGACTACCACATTCAGGAGATTTCTGTTGAAAAAATATTAATATTCATACATTAACTAAATTATTTCTGAACTTAACACTTTAAGCCAATTTTCTTTCAGATGCTATTTATAACAGGAATTTCATGATCGAAGACAGTTCATTGCCAATTTAATCATGGTTAGTAAACATTAATTTTGAAAGTTAAAAGTTTGCTGATCGATATTACATGATTAAGCTGACATGCAGTTTTCCTCATTCTACATGTATGTATAGTGCATACAGTTAAAGTGTATGTTGTAAATATGTTATTGATTTCAGAGATAAGGATGGTTTATTCCACAGAATTCTGGATTCTGAAAAAAACCCACCTGGTAACTCTCAGGTATAAATCGCTAGCATGTTTTAATTCAATGACAGGGTCACCTGCATAAAAAGCCCCATACAAGCTTTCAATGACTCGGATTGACCTTTTATGTCGCTGTCAATACAGAAGCACCATATCAATAATGCCAGCAAATCAGACAGGTTTATTCATATGGGCATTGTACCACATTCACTGCTAACAAAGCATCAAAGTGGTTCTGGTCTATGTACAAGTCATTAACTCATCTGTGACCTTTATGCCATATGGGAGGCATACCTGTCATAGCCCAATTTGTGACTAAACAATGTGATAAGGCATATCATGACAAATATTAGCAGGTTTTGTAAAACTGACTGAACTTAATCATAATCAACCTACGTTTGATTTAAACCGAATCTTAAAAATGTTAGAATAAAAATAACTACCTGTATTTCTTGCATGATGGCAGCAAATCTGGAAGACTTTTCTGACCAAAGATTTATCAGGTTCATGGCATGGTCAAAATTTTTAACATACTCTGTATAAAGCTTCAAAAATGGAGCATTGCTCCGCATCAGGTCTCCAATCTTTGGATCAGATTCCCTGTTATAAGAAATTGAAACGAAAGTCAACACAATTTATCAAAGTAGTGGTGCCATTGAATGGCAAAATATAAACTATATTTTTTGAGGAAAATCAGAGGAGAAATCAAAACAAACCAGAACTAGTGGTCAATTATGATGATTTTAGGAACTGAGCCAAGATAGAAATGCACAAGTTGGATGTAGTACTGTAAACGTATACAACATTTTGATATAACTGACATGCAAATCCCAACATCACACAATTTTATCGACTTATCTATGCTACAATGTTTCGATTGAATGATAGTTTTTTCTCTTGCAAAATTTACAGTAATCTTCTTTTTTCACAATGCTAGGCAGATTAAATATCATTAAAGTTTTAAATTATCCGGATTCAGAACTCACTGTCAACCCAGCAATGTAATTTATCGTCTGTCTATTATTACTTTGTAGGATGTAGACTGTGGTTCCACAACAACGTTAACTTGTACCAACCTCTGTCACTACTAACAACTGTACTAGGAAGCATCTATAAGTCTATATATATCATGTGTAATTTCCAATTCAAATTCAGAATTAATTACAATGCAATTAGACAGCATTCCTTAGAATTTCTGCAAAGCTCATGGCTTTGTACTTTCTCAAACAGTAGTATTAAGTGAAGAAAGGGATTTTCAGTAAAATTTTATGAGCTATACCTATTTGTCTTGTAATATGCATACCCCTGACAACATATATACTGTACATTTTCCATCCAATGTTAATAAATTGTCCTATGGTTAAAGCATTTATTTACCAGTTTTTCATTCTGTTCTCTAACTGTGGTAACAGGAAGTTGTTATGGAATTGGTAAATACTCGTGACGTTTGAGAATATTTGGTTCATCACGTCTTGAGATAGGAAATTATGTGTCTTGTTCTCCTCACGAACCCGAGCCTGAAAAATCTAAAAACACAAGGAAAAGACTGTCAGGGATCCAAGGCACAAATATTTCGATCAATAATTCATTAATCAGTTTAGATTCCGCTATCTATTTCAACAGTACGTGGATCAAATTTTTTGGTCTCGGTCAAATCTCTTAGGAAGTCATGTTTAAACACAATTATTTTGGAAACCTGGCCTCAGCAAGTGCAGCTCTTTCTTATATCTTTAATATTTGTTTCGTTACGGCTTGAAGGATACTGGTCAATAGCTGTTGAAAAAAAAATATAGTGGTTTTGCCATCAAACAAACAAACTTTGAAACCTTCTATTCAATTTCAGATAGAGATTCTGAATACTTCTCCAATATACATGTTATTTCAATTATGGTATTCATACAAACAGGAGCAAAAACATCAGATAAGATATAAATATATGTATACATAAAAAAAAATCAATTAACTTAAAATTCAGTTGTAATTAAGAGTTCACTTAATTTAAAAATAGCAGGATAAAAATGGCTAAATCAATACAGTAATTAAAAAAAAACCCATTAAAGTACAAATGACTTGTAAAGTATTTATGTAAAGTAACCTTGACTGGCCAGTGGTTGAATACTTGACCACAACAGATACTTTGATTCCTTATGTGCAGTAACCTTGAATGGCCAGTGGTTGAATACTAGACCACAACAGATACTTTGATTCCTAATGTGCAGTAACCTTGAATGGCCAGTGGTTGAATACTAGACCACAACGGATACTTTGATTCCTTATGTGCAGTGAACCAGTGTTTGAATGGCCTTAGTGGTTGAATGGCCAGTGGTTGAATACTAGACCACAACAGATACTTTGATTCCTTATGTGCAGTGACCTTGACTGGCCAGTGTTTGAATACTTGACCACAACAGATACTTTGATTCCTTATGTGCAGTGACCTTGACTGGCCAGTGGTTGAATACTTGACCACAACAGATACTTTGATTCTTTATGTACAGTGACCTTGAATGGCCAGTGTTTGAATACTTGACCACAACAGAGTCTTAATACTACAGTATTATTAGCTGTGATAATCTGATGTTTGCTCACAAGTAAATCAATAACTCCACCAATAAAAAACAAACCATATCGATAAATCCAATAAATCAAAAATGCATTAATTTCAATGAACTGTTCATTATCATTAGCATCCCCAATGTTGTCCTCAGAGCAGTACTTCATCGCTAGCTTTATAATCACACACAGACATGTAATAATAGATGAAAACTGCTGATAGAAAGCATTATCTGTTTCATTTCAACACTTTACACCCTACAATGTGTGCCAATACAAACTAATGGCACTTAGAGACAAAAAAAAACAAGAATGTAATTCTAATTTATTAATTAATATAAAACAAATGACACCCAGCCCTGTGGGTGTGGAATGACTGTAGGGGCTGTTGGCCAGCTAATGTGACAATTAAATACATACCAACAATACAGCCAGCAACATGAGTCAAGCATTTAAGGACAGAAATACATTCTGGTTTCGACAATTTTTTTTTTCTATTTTATTCACAAGCAATCAATTGGCTACCGTTTTTATGCCAGCTGAGTTGGATCAGCTAGCAGAAACTTAAATGCTACTGTCAAATTCAGATGTTTCCACACTGCACTACAGCCCTAATCAATTTCGTTTTATTTAATTTCTCCATCTGGTCTAAAAATAGACTTCCATCAACCTAACCAGCCTCACATAAATGTCCCTGAATGTTTGATGTAACTGAACAGTTGGTTTTAGTGAAGATGGAGTTCTTTACGGACTCATGTCACACAATTTCTAGCATGACTGAAATAATTCTGTTGCCAACAACAGAGGTTTTCCAGTTGTCATCTGCTGCCAGTTTCAATGGCATTGCTAAGTAACAGAATCCTGTATTTAGCCTGACGTTTATATGCGAAAGCCATTTTCACATTAACAGAAATACACAACTATTTAGATACTCAATCAATAAACTGTAAAATAAAACACTCACCAAAAAAGTGATATATTGGAAATTTGAAATGTCTGAGAGATGAGACTTTACAACATTTGTCGAGAACAAATAAATGTTAAACTATTTGGTATTATCGTCTGATAACAGATATTGATCCGTTGGCGGGCCAAATAGGTTAAAGCCTTCAGATTTATGGCAAAGCTACTTGGTCTAGACCAAACTGGTCATAATTGGTCATCATCCCTCCCACCAAAGTCTCAGAATCTGAATCAAGACAGAGACAAACCCAAGAGGTGATGTTCTCCCTGTATATATCACTTCATTAGCTCAGTCAGACACCAGGGTATATATCTTTCTCCTCATTTGCTTAGCCAAACAGTGGAAGCAAGTGTGTATCTTTAGCTCCAATTATTCTGCATTAGGTGTTTTTCCTCAACAGTTTAGCCAAACACTGGCAGGCAGTTGTATATCTCTCTAACTAATCCTTCCATCTTAGATATTCTCTTCACTACTTTAACCAAACACTAGATGCTAGTATGCATTTTTGTTGTTTGTCACTAAATTATAGTTTAGCAATTAAACATTTAAACATTGATAGTAGACATCAGAAAGTATTTTTGCCCCTAAAACAGTACCAAAACATACTAGTGATAAGCAAAGCCATGTCCACATATCAATGTAATTCTTTCACTTAGCACACAGAGTCAATTAAATTCCAACTACTCGGCTCATTATGCTAGAGCATATCTTTCTGATCATAAGCCAAGCTTGTGTGTATTCCTGCTGCTAACTAACTACAGTCCTTTTCAAATGCTTTTGTCTATTTCAGCAGCCAAGTTAACTGGATCATTTTAAGGCTGTGGAAAGGCAAAACTTGTTCACAGCAATCACATGTAGTACAATATACCTGTATCTGTCATTCAGGTGATTCTGTAACACAAATATCTATCAGTTATGAATAAGTGACCTCATTTTACCTGATCAAGAAGATAAAGCCGTGACACATAGGCCTTTTCTGTCTTGAAGAGCTCCTCTGCGATCCTGTGTAGTTTACATTCAGGCGTGACATTGTTATCACAAGTCTGAAATTACAAATAAAGTATTGTTTTTTATCAATGTAGACAGTAATAATAATGTTTTAATGTTTTGATTCAAAATCAGACATAGTAAGGATAGTTGGCTTTAATTGTCTGCAAAACATGTTGTTTGTTTTTTTTTTATTTCAAAGTTTCAAAATTTCTTGATTTCAGCAAAAGTAAACATTGAGGATATATTTTCCCTCACATTCATAAAATGGAATTTTCAACAAAAAAGAAAGTTCAAAGGTTTTTTATTTACCCTGAGGTTTATAAAATGGACAAGGTTTACTGTATCAAACTATGCTTCTAAGTGTCTATTTTCATTTTTTCTACTCATCCTTGAAAATAGCATAAAATGATTGAGCTCTTGAAAAACTGTCTTTATAGTACAGAAATATTTTATCATCTGGAAACTTTCTCATCAATGATACAAATCAGAATATGTCCTTACTACCAGACACATGGTAGAAAACTTTATAAAGACAGTCTGACAAACTCGGATAACAAATATGAACAAAGGGGCATAACTCTGTATAGAACAGATGCTCTATCACAACAAGTTCAATAACTTCATATGCATGTTGAACTTTCTCACACAAATTACAAACTGTATTAGTACTGATGTGTATAGTGAATCAGCAGGACTATGCAGCTGTATTATAATCTATGTGTAATAAGGTAGGAATTATAATGTAGAAGTGACAACAAGACTGTAGTGAAATGAAGTTGAATTGGTTATCTAGCATGTTCTATCAAAAATAAGTCAGTTCAACTGCACTCTTTTCATAACCTGGTCCAATAATATACCCACCTCAGAAATTGTTTTACAATAGCATAACTCTGTACTAGGTATGAACTGACCAGAGTTACCTCCCCTTCAATTTTATTTTCATCATCAGCTTCATATGAAAGTAATGATATTTTCTTACCTCCAACATTACTCATACATAATGAAATGTTTATAGCAACTATAGATACAGTGAAGTTAGGTTCAGGTCTAAGAAATTTACCATTGCCCGTTATTTTTTAGTCAGAAATCAATAACATACTGAAGTCAATAGGCTAGTGAGGTCATGAATTAGACACCTACCACAACAATCATGGTAGGAGATATCGTAGCCATATATAACAAAAAGGTAATTGTTCCAGAAAAAAGAAGCATTTAAAAGTTGATATCAATAAGAGAGGTGTAGCTGTAGGAAAGGAGGCCTGTGAGCCTATGATTAAACGATGGGACGAAGATCGAATTTAATTGATTATCAAATCATTTAATCTCATTTGATGTAATGATCGATTGTAATTTTTAATAACCGATCAAAAGAACCTTAATCATTTCTTGTGATTTAGCAAAATAAAATTCATATTATGCATAGTAAGATGCCAATTGACAATAATATTCATTGTTATCTAAATTCAAGGTAAGTGAGGTATTTATCATCAAAGTTAAAAAAAAAAGAAAATATTACTGCCACAGAGAACACATTCACTTTCTATGAATATTGAACACACAGCTGGTTATGTAGTCAATTTGATACACAGAAAAGCCTATCTGATGTTAACTGATAGTTGATTATGGATTTTAACTGATTTCCAATCACTATAGTTTACATGATCACTCACTTTAACACTTTGCAAACATGACAAAATAATGTCATTTATACCTGTAGTATTATCACAGGTGTATATTTCTTAAGTCATTGTCATCCTCTGGACCAGGTGACCTAATAAGGATGTGACATGGTCATCCTCTGGACCAGGTGAGCAAAATAGGGGTGTGACAAGGTCATACTCTGGACCAGGTGACCTAATAAGGGTGTGACATGGTCGTACTCTGGACCAGGTGAGCTAAGTGAGGATGAGACATCTATATACATACTTTGTCTTAATCACTGTCATCCTCCGGACCAGGTGACCTAATAAGGATGTGACATGGTCATCTTCTGGACCAGGTGAGCAAAATAGGGGTGTGACAAGGTCATACTCTGGACCAGGTGACCTAATAAGGATGTGACATGGTCGTGCTCTGGACCAGGTGAGCTAAGTGAGGATGAGACATCTATATACATACTTTGTCTTAATCACTGTCATCCTCCGGACCAGGTGACCTAATAAGGATGTGACATGGTCATCCTCTGGACCAGGTGAGCAAAATAGGGGTGTGACAAGGTCATACTCTGGACCAGGTGACCTAATAAGGGTGTGACATGGTCATACTCTGGACCAGGTGAGCAAAATAGGGGTGTGACATGGTCATACTCTGGACCAGGTGAGCAAAACAGGGGTGTGACATGGTCATACTCTGGACCAGGTGAGCAAAATAGGGATGTGACATGGTCATACTCTGGACCAGGTGAGCAAAATAGGGGTGTAACATGGTCATACTCTGGACCAGGTGAGCTAAATAAGGATGTGACATCTATATACTTACTTTGTCTAAATCTTGTTCATCCTCATGATTGTCGACATCACTGTCCCAATCACTATACTCATCGAAACTCATGTCGGAGTCTGACCAACTCGAGTCAAACAACTCCACTACATTAACTGTTGAAAATCCAACAGTGCTACAATCCGAGGCAATACCGGACTCGGCCTCCGTCCGATCGTGCCCATTAGAGAAACTGTCTGACTGTGACGTTCCACCAAACTCTGAAGATCGCAAACTATTCCTGGCACTGTTGTCGGAGGTATCCACGGAAATGGCATTCCTATCCCGTCGGAGTCGTGGTGACCCCTGCGGTGTTCGTGGTTTATGTTTGTTTTTCAAAAATTTGTTGGAGTCATCACTACTATTAGATCTTTCAAACTTCTGTTTCAACTCGCGCACACTTTTTGTACCATCTTTGTCCAGATTGGAAGTTTTTTCCCCGTTAGGCTCATTATGATTAATTTGTTCAACAACTGCTTTTACAAAGCCTTTTTTCATAACTAGATTACTAAATTTCTCGTCGCGCGAAAATGCACAACAATGCTTCCTAGCTTTATCTGTGTAGCTAGGAAACAGAAGAATTTTCCCACCACTCCGGACAACAGTCCGACTCCTATATATTCCAGGAGACGGCGGTGCAGAATACGTTTCTTTTGCACTATTTAAAATTTGAAAATCACGTAATCGCTTTTGTACTATACCACTTATATTCGGAGAGCCAGGTCTAGAACCGTTAGCACATCCAGTTGGCGAAAAATCTGATGTAGATTCTAAAATAGATCCCTTTCCAGAATCACTTGAATTGCTGGTTGATGGCGCTACTGCTCTTTGACCTCCAGGGTCGTCAGATTTTTTATGAAGTCTTCCTATTAAACAATCATCTTCATTTTCATCATCTTCATCATCATCACCTTTTTCGAGTGATGTTCGAGTATGAATCACTAATCCATTTTTTGTTTTCCGTCCAGATTTCCGAGAGAAACTGACATTGCTGAACAATCTGTCCAAGAACTTGGGCTTGCTTGGTGCTGTTGGTTGAAATAAACAAAATATTAGATAAGTGATTATGTAGTGTAGAAAACTCTGTTACAGGATTTTGGAAATTATGACAAGGTCCTTGAAAATCACTAAATATACAAAAAAATTGGAAGAAAACATCAGAAGTAAAAAATGACTAAAATCAGTATTATTGTGTACCAAATAAGGTAAATATATGAATAGTTAAACATTGATCAGCACACAGAATGACAAGGATAGGTATATATACATTTACATAGATTCTCACTTGATATGAAACATCAACATTAAAAGTAATTTATTTTTCGATTCTCTCACCTGGCTGAGATATGGAACATCAACATTAAAAGTCAGTTATTTTTAATTTTGTATGTCCCCTAACAACAGGATCTTCTACAGTGAGATGTCTATAGTCAGGTTTGAGTCACCTGTATCAGTAAATTGTCTGGTGCAGGTCTTGATAAGGACAGGTACCCAAAATGTCAAGTATTTGGTAAGACAGATTTTTGTCTAAATAGAGGGATCAGCAAAGTCGGGTGTCAATAGAATCAGAAAATTACTGAGACAAGACGTCTATAGTCTTACATATAGCATTGTTTTGGCTTCCTACGTCAGTGGGTGGGTGGGACAGGGAAGTGGAGATCGCGACAACTTAGGCTAGACCTCAAAATAGCATCTCACCACTAATGTATGGTAAAGTTTATCTCATTTGTGTCGTAAAATTCAGAATCCTGCGCATTCTGTCTGGTGTAGATGTAGTGCAGACTTGATATACACATTGATATTTTATTGGACAGCAGCTGTAGACAAAAACCATGTAATGTTGTGTTTTCATTGATACTACATCAAACATCATTACCTGCTATCAGAAAACAGTATGGATTTTGTGTTTCCTAGTTTTCCTTAACACAAACCATACCCCCAGAGAGATACCACTGCTGTAGACTTTTAGGGACAGAGGCCGGTGTTCAGCACATCTGTTTAAACATTTATTACACTCAGTCTATTACAGGAAGAACCCACTTACTGTTCTGTATGTAACATTGAAGTACTTCTACATCTATAAATGTTGCTCCGATGGGCCAGAACAAATACTTTGCCCTTTGACCTATGACCTAACTATGATTGGCCTGTTAATTTGGCCAGTTATTAAAAGTCGTACAAGAGTAAAAGTATCAATGAACACAATGATCACTGAACTCTGAGGTCTTCCTCAGACAAAGGTGACCATCCTTATGGCCTCTAGGAAAGTGTCACGATGTTCAGTATTGTTTGAACTCTTGGTCAAGACAAGCATGTGCTTGGCCACTAACCTGAACCAGTGTTGTAGTACTCTACTCATATATTTTCATATTGCTGCTTTGTCATAGCTGAATTCAGTGACTCAGAGTTTCGAAAGAAAGCAAGTATTGCAGTCGATGACTTCTTAAGATCTGAGCTATAAGGAAATCTTAGGATTTCTCAGGGTAGAACAATGGCCAAACAAAATTACATCTTGACCAATTGACTTGTGGGTCCTATATCACCAATGTTAATCAAATGATTGCAAATTCACCACGAAAACTCTTAAATGATATTTCAGTATCTAAATACAATTCCCAGAAATTTTTTGTTTTGTTTTTTGTTTCTGGAAAACGAGAAATAAATGGAAGTTTTAAAACCCAAATAAATAACAGCTTTAATACTGATTCTGAATCACAAAGTCAAAATACATGTACTCTCTGATTTCACAATGATTTAGAGAATTTCCAATGGTAGAAGATTGGTACTTAGTAAGCACGTAACTGGAAACGTTTTATATGAAATAAGATAATTTTATCATCACACTAATTCTATGATGAATAAAAACTTTCAGAACATGGAAAAACAAATCCAGATGTCAGCTGATGCATGTTGCCTATTGAGAGCTGAATAATTAATCAGCAACCAGAAATTGCCTGATTAATGGAAAACCCAATATATAAACATGTTTCTATCACGCGTTTTAAACTTTCAGCAGATCTGCTTTGTGTGCGGGGGAATTAGCTTCAGGTTCTCAACAGTGCCATTATCTTTAGTGCTTTTAAGTCTCTTGCAGTATGGCTTACCAGAGCAGTACAGTAATTATAGTTAGGTGTTTAAAACTGAAGGTGCACTGAGTGTTGTCCAGCAAATTTAAAGGTGTACCAAGCATCGTTGTTGATAATTCTGTTTAAAACTGTACTATTGGTATTGGAATATTTACGATAAAAACAACATATTGTCATGTAGTTTTGTCAAATGTTTGCATCTAAATAGGGTGGTTGATTCCCAAGAGAAACATACGACAGTTTTCCTTGTAGTATTGGGGAGGGAGAGATATTGATTTTTCCCCTGTCTGATCTGTATGCAGGCTGTGAGGTTCAGAATAACTAGGGACATATCTGTATGGTTATAGGCATCAAGGATGTCACTGTGCTGGAGACTACCAAGTAAACACAGCAGATTCTAACTGCAGGGGCATGGAAAAGTATGGTGTTATAGTAAACGAAGGGCTCTAGGGGATAGGGTGCTGCTCCTCTGTCATAGAGAGGGCACTGTTCCCCAGTCATAGTCAGGACATGACTGGAGACAGAATTTTATGTAAAAAAAAATTTTTTTTTTAAGTATCTGAACGGAACAGCCAGTGGTCCAAATACAGGGTATTAAAATATCCCAATGGGCCTATTCGGCTACCAATTATAAGATGTGTTTGCTGCCCCGCTCCACAGTGTTGGCTTTCATTGATTTTGGGGTGAGGTTATAAAGGAGCTGAACAAGTAATGCAGACAGCTGTGAGAAGCCCTTCATTAACCCTGTGAAGAAGGTTGAACATCAATTGATCACCGATATTGATCTATGACAACGACAATGTATGCCTTCTCTTAATTATTTAAAACCTTCTTGAATCCAAATACAGAATGCAGCTTAATCCTCAATAAAGACTTAGGAACTGATGTAAAATTTGTTTAAAATTTGTTTACAAGACATGAATGCCCTTTCTCTTATTGAAACCAGAAAACCTTATTTGTTGTAAGAGCCTGATGTTATGATACTATTGGGTAAGTTATGTCCCTCAACACTACCAAAAAAATACGTTGAGGCATGAAGAAAAAAATCCATCAGATATTCCAATTAAGGTTATCTAGCTATCCTCTGTTCCAAATGACCTTGCTTCTGTCCTTCTAGGAAATAAGGTAATCAACCAAGTTTGAAGAAAACATCTTCCCCATGGGACATGAATGTTCGTTTAACTTTGTTTAATCCATTCTTGTTGAGAAGCTTTTCTTAATGGTTATCTAAAATTTTCTATCTGAGGTCTCTGCCTCAACCTCCTGGGTAATACCATCTTCGTGTTAACACATTAAATCACTTTGGTGTTGGTACAGGAAGTATCTCAACAGAAGAGTCAGGTCTTACAATCAGTTAGATTCTACCTGTCATCTTGGCTCTAAGCATATTACATATCACACTGACCTAATGCTCAGTATGATGGACAAGACATTATTTTCCCTCCTTGGCCATACTTCTATACAAAAAAAACCCCCAAAAAAACCAAAGGGCCATAACTCTTCATATCATGCATTACATTAGAAAGTCAACTGCTGTCTGAAGACACAATATACCTCCGGTCAGTTAAACTAGGCGAGGAATTTAAACACATGACTTTTTAAATAAAAACAATCACTTTTCTGTCTAGTGGTAGTTCTCTTCATGTTTTTCTTATAATTCAAAAAATCAATTTGAGATCATATGATAAAAATCTTATTATAGATAGGGATACTAGTGAAACAATAATCGTTCTTATGTGGTCACTATTCACATTGATGGTATGACCAATATTAGCAGCTGAATCACCAATAACACACCTATATCTCATTTCATTAGCTTTGACTCAGTGTAATTTCATTCATGTCTTGCTCTCACAATGTTGTGCACACAGCAGCAGACAAAACTTGAGTCCCCAACTCTGTATTACAAGACAAGAGGCCTAGCGGCCTTGATGGTCACCTGAGATAAGCAATATTGAACATAAAGGTTAAAGGATAGTTGTCAAGTGTCATGAAACAGAAATTGTGACAATGAATATAGTAAGCCAGTGTCAGTATGCATACCATCAAAACTGTCATCCTATACTGATAATTCTTATCCAGTGGGGAAATAACCAACGTTATGTACAAAAATGCAATTTTCCTATAAAAAATTACAGTAAAGTCTATAAAAAATATTCCCCACAGGAAGGAATGTGAGACTCATTTTGGTAATTAAAGCACCTTAAGATGCTTCCATTCATGAAGAGCATTTGATTCTGCCAAATCTGGGTCTTGAGAAGAAGATTATTGAAATTTAAGTCAATTTGACCCTTTTTGCTCCACCTGATGAGCCCCTGGCGGTCAGTCAGGATCAAAATTGGCATACCATCAAGCTGTCACCATTCACTTGTAATTCTAACCATGTTTGAAATATTTCCAATGGAAATTACATGAATTATGCTAAAAACACTAGTTTCCCTATATAAACTTCGGTAAACTTTACCCCCTCCTAACAGGGAATTGTGAGACCCTGGGGCTATGAAATTCACAATTTTGGTAAAGCACCTTAAGATTCATCCATTCATAAAGAGTATTTGATTCTGCCAAATCTGGGTCTTGAGAAGAAGATTATTGAAATTTAAGTCAATTTGACCCCTTTTGCTCTGCCCAACAGCCTCTGGGAGTCAGTTAGGATCAAAATTGGCAAACCATCAAGCCTTCATCCTTCACTCATAACTTTAACCATGTTTGAAATATTTCCAATGGAAATTAAAACAAATTATTCTATAAAATCTAGTTTTCTATATAAACTATAGTGAACTTTACCCCCTCCCAACGGGGAAATTTGAGACCCTTGGGCCATGAAATTCACAATTTTGGTAAAGCATCTTAAGATTCATCCATTCATAAAGAGTATTTGATTCTGCCATATCTGGGTCTTGAGAAGAAAATTTTTGAAATCCAAGTTAATTTGACACCTT